TTTGCGCAGTTCGACGGCGATCATATTTTCAGAAAAAACGCTACGGCTATGGAAATTCAGTTTCGCGATCATTGTCTCCGCGCCGTACCGCCGTCCCATTTTGTTAATAATTTCACGTCGACGTGATTGCGTACATTCTCCATGGTCTTACCGAATACCGCGTTGTTCATTAATTTGTACAAATTTTTTTCGAAATCATTTTTCGCGCGCGTTCTAAATTGCGTATTCAGTTCGATGTAATCACGGAGCCAGGTGGATTGAGTGAATTGCAGTACCCTATGTATCTTCGTTACGCGAAGACCGTGACGACTACATTGCTGCAGGTTGCGGTAGTGGATGACGTAACGCTGCTTATCGTACAGCGTCGCGAGCAGTTTATCCTCGCGCTTGCCGGGCGGCTTATCGTGCGTCGGGCAAAAAGGCAGGTCTGTGTGTCGATCGTGCAGATGTTGTGGATATTCGAGATCGACTTCGAGAATGTAACCGCTGGGCGAATCCGGAGCGATCGCGCTCACGTCGAAGTTAGCAGCGTCTTCGACCCATTGAAATTCGGCGTATGACAATGGTTGACACATCGCCCACTCGTACAGATTGTTCACGTCGTAGTACATTAAGTACGACGATGGTTTCAATGAGTCGTACGAACGCATGTACTTGTTATTGGCCTGCGCGTATCTGCCTGAACATTGATTGAGGCCACCGCGTATACCGCGCTTGATGAACATGACCATATCAATGTCGGTGAGCAACTCGAATTTTATACGCGTATGTTTTAACATGGCATCCCATGTGAAACCAGGTAATGTATAGTAATGTGCATGATCAAGATCATAACTCTCTACACAACTTTCGCGGAAATTTTCAAAAATGTCGGCTAATAACAAGACATCGGTTTTTAAGTACAGATCGCTGCACTCGCCGAGCGTTCGCACAGAGAATCGCTGCCAGACGTTCGCAGCGTGAACGTAATCGCTCTCGGATACGGTATCGTCCGTCAACGAACTGTAAAATGATTCGCGCGGTGGTAAGCGCGTCATCCAATTTTTCAACGCAGTCAACGTACTCGTACGGAAATACACCTTTACGAGTCAGTAATTCAAATTCTTCGTCTGATAATTTTGGAAATTCGGAACGTACAATTTTTAATTTATCTTTGTCGAGATATGACGCCAATTTATCAAGACTCGCACTCAAAAATTTGAAAGAATCGATGAATCTTAATTTTACGCAATTATTATTAAAATTCTTTTCATTTTTTTCTTTTGTACTATCTACATGTTTTGTGAAGGAAATATACTTTTCTTTGGTTATCGGTAGAACATCTACTTGCCCATCATACGCGGTAGCGATTTCTTTTATAATAAAATGCGCGTCGTATCCCGATAAATTATGAAACACAACAGGAATATAGAATGAATTTTTATAATTAAAATTACAATTTGCATGCGCTGGACCACTTATCTATCGGTAAGATGACAATGATCACGGACTCGCGTATCATCCTGTGCTAACGGCTTCTTACAGATGTGACACCGCGTCGCGCTACGGTACGCCTCCCATTGCTGTTTAGACAACGTTTGCATTGGTACATTGGCGGATACCAAATTTTTAACGCGATGCGCCAAGTCTTGGAGTTGGCGCGCGAACCACGCTATACAATCTTCATCGCGACGGAAGTGATATGACGACAACGAGTTGTCATATGAGCAGTGCACGTAGTATCCGATGCTAAACGCTTCTAGTATACTGCTGATACGCGTACGACGATGCGTCTTCCTTGGAATCCGTCTTCCGCAGCACGCACTCCAAGTCAGCATACACGATGAACGGCACTCGTTCTTGGTAATTATAATTGTCGAATTCGAGAAATTTGTCGTCTTCGCTCGGCAGTCGAATGGCACAGTCGTTGATTTTTTGACAATCCACTTCGTGCGTCAGTAACTTTGCGCTCGAGCTGAAGTAATGAAGACACCTGCAAATAAAAAATTATTTTTTCTACCGTTTTTTAAAATGTTTTTTTATCAATTTTTTTATCACGCTTACCGGTCACAGAAAAATTTCTTATTCTTGTTCCCAGTAATTTGTAATCTTACAAGGCGAGACAAATTCTTGATCCACGCAAAGTGGTCTAGGTTGTCGTCGCGTGGATCTTGTAGGTACAGGAGATTTATGTGTTTCTCCTTCTTGTCACCGGTGAGCCGCAGAGGAAGGATCTGTTTATTCTCGATGCCATATACGTTGATCGACACCATGTTCAAACGTTCGAATTTCGGAATGTCTTTTAAAGTCATCGGAAACTCGATACCTGCGAGGTTCAACACCGACGTGTAATGCGGATACGATGATTTCCGATCCACTTTTCTTTCTGCCGGGTATAGAGCGGCGACCACCGACCACGCGAAGCACGCATTGTTCATAGATTTCACGTTGATCACCACTTTTTTAAGCATAATTTCCTGCGGTACGTCTATGTGGCATCCCGCGCGCGTAGGATTCAGTTTGTTCACGTTAACAGTCAAGTTGTGGATTCGCGATAGCGCCCACCCGCTGTCGCGTTCTTGGAACTCTTCGAGTGACGTCAACGTGGGCTCCATGACGCGTGACACGTACCACTCGCGCAAATCGGTGCATCGATATAGTTCACTTTTCTTAGTGTTTATACTTTTATTAGCGCGTTTATCGTTCGTCGCAAATTCACCGTTGAACGCGGTGTTCACCTTCACACTACCGTGTCTCCATACAGCGTCTCGCACTCGAGCACTACATCGCCAGCGTCTTCTA